ACAGCACTTGATCACCTCTTAACACTTTGTATCCACTATCTCCCATTGGATCTCATTGATTTAGATACCAAGTCCCTAGCAATTTAGATTATTTTAAGGGCATAAAAAATCAGAGATTTTTCTGAGTATCGCCATGTTTAGAAACAGGCTGTAATGTCTAGGTATCTTGTGTGATGTGACTGCAGCTTTGTGCAAAATAAAATATAGGAGATAAGTCACAAGGGTAAGAGAATGCTATAGAAAATATTTTACTTGGCCCTCTTGCTCCATCTAGTCATCCTGGGGTGTGTGTGTGTGTGTGTGTTGTTCAGGGATGTGTCCACATGAAGGCCTTTAGCATCATTCTTCAGACAACTTACTTTTTTTTTAGACAAGGTCTCCCACAGTTTTGGAATTCATCAAGGAACCCCAGAGATCCACACATCTCCACCTCCCTCAAGTGGAATAACAAGTGAGATTGGGAGCCAAGTTTACATTCATCTCTCTACATGATTGTATCCAAGAACATTCAGCAACTGTTAAGCCTGGAAAAAGACTGTTGTTAAGGTCCAGATTTCAAAACAGTGGTAGACAAATAATTCCAGGTCCTGTATCCAGAAGATATCTTTGAAGATCATAGAAGACCCATTTTCCTGAAGATACATTAGATGCTGTGTCAGATTCCCCATATGGGGGCAGTGGTGTCTGTGCTCCAGTGAGTCTGAATGACAAAGACTATGGTCACCTTGGGGGAGGCAGTTGATTACTGCAATGCCTTGGAATGATTAAGACCTATATTCTGCTTTGTCAGGTCCTGGTTTCAGAACCTAGAACCAGAGAAGGAGATGCAATAGAATCTGTTCACAGAGAACAGTAAATGAAACCTGTTAAGGACAAAACAAACCAACCCATACCCACCTATATCTCAGTCAGCTATGCAGTTTTTCTCCTTCAATTTTTAAAGTTCTTTGTTTCTTTTTTAAGTTGTTAGGATCCTGCCATAGTCCAAACTCAAACAGTACAATAAGACACTCACTTGTCTGTTCCCACCCATCCAATTTTTTCCTATGGATATTCTGTTTTATTTTCCGTTTTATTACTTCCCTCTCAAGGTTTGGACTGGGATTTTTGCAGTGTTTGTGATCTTTTCCTGCAAACACAAAAGTGTTTGTTCTTCCCTTGAAACAAGGGCATTGCAGTGTAAAAGAGGTCTTCCAGTTCCAAAGCCCTGTTCTGCAAGGCTTGGTAACTTCTTGGCATTTTTAAAAGTATTTTTTATTCTATATCAAGGCAATTAATGCATTCCATCCGGGATCCTGGATAAGTGTCTCTTGTCATAGTCCTGCTTCTTTGTTAGTTAGAACAATCAATCATATTACCTACCCATCTCAAACAGATGAGTCCAGCAGATACAGTGTGTTGAGAATTTGAGAGATTGGTTTGTGAAAAAGCTTTAAATGTCAGGAGGGAAGAGTTTGACCTCAGTGCAGTTTATGTATATAATGGTTCAATGTCTTAGGTATTACAGTAGATCCTGGCTTCATTGCAAGCTCTGTTCCTTGATCAATTCTCTTTACTTCCCTGGGGCTCTGCTTCCTCTGCTGTTATGTAAAAATAATCACTTGCTATCAAGAATTGGATGAGGACCTTATTGGTTGCCATAGTGATCGTGACCAGGAACAAGATGTACTTACCATCAGCTATACCTTCCACTGCTCTCTTTATATTGCCTTGTAACAGAAGCTCTGGGCAGATCTGTTTACTTAAAATAGTTTAGACTGGGTGGCAGCTAGAGTGGAACTATATACCGATGGCTGTGGACATATATCTGGAAGGGCCTCAGCTGCACCATACTGCCCTGTAAGCAGTGGCCCCAGGGTCTGTACCAAGACTCCCATATCCCCCTGACATTTTGCATGGACACTTCAGCCTGGATTTTGGGAGAAAGCCATTTGGGGGAAAATGCCCTTAATGCTATGGATTTTCATGTTTTCACTATCTTGGTCTGCTCCCAGCTTCTCTGTGCTTGTTACCTAGAAGGTAATGTAGGCAAAAGTACTAAAATAACAGGACATATTTCAAGGTTATCATTAGAGATCAAAGAGATCACACACATGACTTCACTGACACAAACTGCTGGCAAGCACATAGACATTGAAGATAGATTCGTGCTTTCTTGAGCCTGGAGAAGACAGAAATGGAGAGTGATTGCTAATGGGTACAATTTTCTTTGGGAGCGCTGAAATGTTCCAAAATTATAGTGCTGATGGATGAATAACTCTCTTAATAGACTAAGAAACCTAATGTATTATACACTTTAAAGGTGTGGATATTATGATATGTGAATTGCATCTCAATAAACTTGTCATTTAAAAAAACAATCAAGCATATTTCTTCATCTATGGCTCCTATGAAGCATGTGCACACAGACACAGAGGGAAACACTGCAGGGGCTAGGTCTTCACTGAGGAACTGCTTGTATTACTGGATTAATATTTAGCAGCAGGTTTCCAGTATTCTAAATCTTCATTTGCTAAGAGTAAATCATCTTGGAAACATGGCAAAGGTGTGTGTGTGTGTGTGTGTGTGTGTGTGTGTGTGTGTGTTTCCGTGTATGTATCCTTTTCTTTCTTTCTCTCTCTCTTTCTTTCTTTCTTTCTTTCTTTCTTTCTTTCTTTCTTTCTTCCTTTCTTTCCTTTAGATGATGAGGCTCCAAGGTGGAAAAACCTATGGAAACAAAACATAAGAGGCAAAAACACCCCATGGAGGCCAGTGCACATACTTCAGATAACCCAAAACTTTAACACAGTGATGGGAGCCCTGGTGTTAGGAGAAACGGTGTTCATGTCATTTCTCTCAGATTCTAAGCGTGGGCAAGTTTCTGTTCAACATTTGCTAGACATTCAATTTATCTTTGCAGTTTGAATGAGCTATCGAAGGTGCTCATAAAGCATGGCCCTGAGCACACCTTCTCCCACGCACCAGTGAATCAGATCCCTTCACAGATGTATAAAATTCAGTTCAATAAATCATGTGCCCACCATACACAGTCACCAGAAAAGAACAGCTTCTTGGGCAGCTTTCTCACCCTCTCTGTGTGGTTGCTCCTGGGAGCAAGATTTCACTGGGTGCCAAAATATTCCAGGAAAAGGAATAAGTAAGATGCATATTGTCAAAGTCCACCTTCATGTCTGCCCTAGCAGCTCTGCTGCTGAGTCACACTGAGAGGCCCTGGCAATCTTAATGAAGCAATAGCTTTGTCATGTTTCCCAAGCTCCATGATATTTTACATCAGCACACCCTATATGGTCTGTCAACATTAGAGCCCATCTGCCCTGAGGACCTAGAGAACTGATGCAGGGCTCTGTCACAGGCAGTCACAGCTCTGACTAGCAGCTTTCCCTTTGTGAAATACCCCTCTTGTAAACTGAAGGAGTTAGCGTAGCTCATAGTTATCTAGTGCATTTTCCATGTGGTGCAGTAACTTAGAAGAACAGATCTCCGAGGTGCAAGGATTAATGTGGAGACCAAGACTGAGAATCAATCAATAGGAAACTGCCAGAGACAGAGAAAAAAGGGCTCTGGTTAGTGAGAAGTCATATACAACTCAACTTGAAGCTTATATAGGCTGATTTTTTTAAGTGGCAGTGTTTCGTGATTTGGTGAGTATTTCTGTTTCCTTGGTTTAGATTTGTTAACTGAGGGACTTAGGAGGTCAATAGGTTGGCAAAGTGCATGCCATACAAACACAGAGACATCTATTCCCAGTAACTAGGTTAAAAAAAAAACTGGACGTTGTGGCATATGTTTGTAATCCAAATACTGAGGTGGCAGAAACAAGTGTATCCAGGAGTATCACTGGACAGCCAAACTACCTAAGTTCCAGATCAGTTACAAAAAAAGAGGGAGAATTATTCTAAAGGTTAACCTGTGGTCTCCATGTGCACATACACATGTGTATACAAGTACACTGGCATACATACATGCACACACATGTACATACTTGCACATACACAACACACCTAATTTTTTAAACTTAAATAATTTTAAAAAGATTTATATATTTTTACCAGGCAGGAGTGGCACACGTCTTTAATCTCAGCACTTCAGAAGCAGAAGCAGGTACATCTCTAAGAGTTCCAGGCCAGTTTAGTCTATAGAGTGAGTTCCAGGACCACTAGGGCTACAGAGAGAAAATGTGAGTCAAAAATAAGATTTGATTATATTTCTGAGTTGTTTGCTTGCATGAATGTCTGTGACTATGTGCATATACTGTTCAGAAAAGTCATAAGGAAACATCAGATCCCCTAGGACTGGAGGTATAGACAGGTGTTAGCTGATATGACTGGTGGAACTCAACCAGGTCTTCTAGAAGAATAGCCAGTGCTCTTAACTGCTGAGCCATCACCTCAACTCCATAAATGAATTATTAAAACAAACAAAAAAGAAAACAAACATGAAACTAAAAAGGAGATTATGACAGAAAAAAAGGGTGTTGAGGAAAGGAAGAGAAAGTAATAGAATAGATGTAACAGATGTAACGTGAAATTGGAAAAGGAGCGACTGGATGTAGAAGAGTACAAGGAAGTGGAGAAAGGGTGGAAAATTAGCTGAAAAGGTCAACAAAACAAATTGTGTTTGAAAATACCTATACTAACCTCAATCTCCTAGACTCGAGCAATTCTCCTGTCTCGACATCTTGAGTAGCTGAGACTACATATTTGAACCACTGCATCTGACTGAAACTTTTACTTTTTAAACTGTTCCATAACAAAGGAAATGACTGGTCTCTCACAACTAGTGGAAGACATTAAGAACACCTTTCATAGTGTTCTTATGCTTCCAACAAAGACCATCTTTACTCCCTGGAAAGCGGGGAGGCTTTCTGTCTCTAAACCCTGTCAGTGCTAGACTTTGCCAACAGTGTAAGAAAATGGGCAACTTCTCTGTCGAATACACACACACACACACACACACACACACATACTCACACACACACACACACTCATACACACACATACCCGACAGGAATAAGTCAATATGGTCCGACCTGCCCCCTATATTGCTGTAGTCCTGGCCCCAGGCACAGCCACTGCAGACTGCCCAGCCTTCAGGCACATCGTCTTCTTTCCATGTCTGTGCCTTCACACCAGCTGTTGTCATGGCTTCCTATTGTCTCCCCTGTCTCCATCAGATAAGTACAGTTCTTCCAAGATTGGGATCAAATATTGTCACTATGTCTTATGAACATCCAATGTACCCAGAATGGCCTGCAGAATGGATTTCTTTCCTTTTCCCTGGTTACCAAGTGCAACACTATGGTATAACACGACATAGTCAGTGAATGTGTGGCAGATCTCTGGGTAGCCTTATCTCTTCAACTGTGCAACACACATTTACATCCTGTGTGATGATATCTCACGAATATAATAATGTGGTTAGGGAGATGAACTCAGGGTCCAGACAATCCGGTTTTCACTTCTAGTTTTGTCACTACCTAAATGAACAGGGCCTCTAGAAAGTATGTGAACAGTTACTCAGTCCCCTCTGTAAAATAGAGATCCTAGTACTCCTCTCAAAGGGCCATTTTAGAAATGAGGTGAGAATACCACCTTCAGAGCACAATATCTGATATACAGCAAATGCTCAATCAGTTAGTGATCCCTGGTATTATTGCACAGTCTGCCACACCGCACTCGGGTAATTTGTATTTGAGTGAGTGTTTAAACAGTCAGGCCTTAGCAGCTCAGGTTACTGGAAAGTCAGGACCGGCTAGGTTAGTCAAGGAAGCTGCTGCCCTTTGCCTCACATTGCCTCTTGCATCCTAGCTTTTCTTTTAGGATGTGTCTCCCTTTGTGTAATCGTTACATAGATTTTTTTACATAGATTGTTGAGTTGTCAGGCATTGGTGCTTCCCAGTAGACTAAGCTCTGTAAGTGTGATGGTTTGAATGAGAAGTGCCCCCATAGTCTTGGGCTTCTGAACACTTGGTCCCCAATTGGCTGTGCTGTTTGAGGAGGTTAGACACCACTGGGTGTGGCTTTTACAGCAGAAGGTCTTCCCCTCCCTGAAGTTTGCTCTCATCTCTGCTTCATGCCTGCAGTTCACGATGTGAATTCTCATCTTGGTGCTCCAGCTGCCACATCTGCTGCTACCTATTGTGCTCCTCCCACCCCCAAGGACTCTGACTCTCTGAAACTGTAAACCAAAAGTCAATTTTTCTTCCACAGGTTGCCTCAGGTATGGTGTTTCTCACAGCAACAGAAAACTAATAAAATGAGGCAAGAAATTACTGGTGTTTTCTTTTTTTAACCACACTTCCCAACCTGGACCAGTGCCAAGAAGTAGGTGCTCCAAAATAGTCAGTCAATTAACAAACAAGTGAGAGAAAATCCAGAAAGGATATATGAGTTGGATGGCGTTGAAGAACATTTAAACATTGAATAGAAATCCAGGGGTACGTCCTGTGGAGAAACTGAATCCTGAGTCATCCAGGAGCCACTGCACTCAGAGCAGCTGGTAAGAACTCCATCTCACTCCCTAAACCCCAGAGATAGATCGGGGAGCCAGGGACATCCAGGGCACAGCAGCTACCCAAACCCCGCCCCTCCGGAATTCCACTTCCCTTCTGCCCCTGCCTGCTCCTCCGAGCTGGAGCAGACACAGAGTCAGTCTGCTCCTGTCCTGTGGAGAAACTGAATCCTGAGTCATCCAGGAGCCACTGCACTCAGAGCAGCTGGTAAGAACTCCATCTCACTCCCTAAACCCCAGAGATAGATCGGGGAGCCAGGGACATCCAGGGCACAGCAGCTACCCAAACACCGCCCCTACGGAATTCCACTTCCCTTCTGCCCCTGCCTGGTCCTCTGGGCTGGAACAGACACAGAGTTGGTCTGCTCCTGTCCTGTGGAGAAACTGAATCCTGAGTCATCCAGGAGCCACTGCACTCAGAGCAGGTGACACAGAGTCGGTCTGCTCCTGTCCTGTTGAGAAACTGAATCCTGAGTCATCCAGGAGCCACTGCACTCAGAGCAGCTGGAGCCACTGCACTCAGAGCAGCTGAAACTGAATCCTGAGTCATCGAGGACCCACTGCACTCAGAGCAGAAGGATTTCCAGATCCAAGAGGTGGCCTGAGTCCCAGGAGTTATTCCACCCAGGAGATTAGGAGCATAAGACCACAGAGACCTCTGGTCTCTGAGGAGCTCTGCAATAAGCAAGATAACTGGAAATACAGACTCCAGTTTTACACAGTGAGAGCAGGTACCACTAGAGTTAACCAGATGGCGAAAGGCAAGCGCAAGAACATAAGCAACGGAAACCAAAGTTTCTTGGCATCATCAGTGCCCAATTCTCCCAATATAGCAAGCCCTGAACACCCCATCACACCTGAAAAGCAGGATTCAGAATTAAAATCACTTCTCATGATGATGATAGAGGATTATAAGAAGGAATTAAGTAACTCCCTTAAAGAAATACAGGAGAGTACAAGTAAACAGATAGAAGCCCTTAAAGAGGAATCACAGAAATCCCTTAAAGAAATGGAAGAAAACACAAAGAAGGAGTTAAACAAAAACATTCAGGACCTGAAACTAGAAATAGAAACAATAAAGAAAGTTCAAAGGGAGACAACCATGGAGATAGAAAACCTAAGAAAGAGATCAGGAGTCACAGACGCAAGCATCACCAACCGAATACAAGAGATAGAAGAGAGAATCTCAAATGCAGAAGATACGGTGGAAAATATTGACACAGTTGTCAAAGAAAATGCAAAACGCAAAAAACTCCTAACTCAAAACATCCAGGAAATCCAGGACACAATGAGAAGACCAAACCTAAGGATAATAGGTATAGATGAGAATGAAGATTCCCAACTTAAAGGGCCAGTAAATATCTTCAACAAAATTATTGAGGAAAACTTCCCTAACCTAAAGAACAAGATGCCCATAAACATACAAGAAGCCTACAGAACACCAAATAGACTAGACCAGAAAAGAAATACCTCCCGTCACATAATAATCAAAACATCAGATGCACAAAACAAAGAAAAAATACTAAAAGCAGTAAGGGAAAAAGGTCAAGTAACATATAAAGGCAGACCTATAAGAATTACACCAGACTTCTCACCAGAGACTATAAAAGCCAGAAGAGCCTGGACGGACATCATACAGACACTAAGAGAACACAATTGCCAGCCCAGATTACTATACCCAGCAAAACTCTCAATCACTATAGATGGTGAAACCAAGATATTCCATGACAAAACCAAATTTGCACAATATCTTCCCACAAACCCAGCACTTCAAAGGATAATGGATGGAAAACGCCAACACAAGGAGGGAAACTACAACCTAGAAAAAGCAAGGAAGTAATCTTCCAACAACCCCAAAAGAAGATAACTATACAAACATAACTTTACCTCTAATAACAAAAATAACAGGAAGCCACAATCATTTTTCCTTAATATCTCTTAACATCAATGGTCTCAATTCCCCAATAAAAAGACGCAGACTAGCAGACTGGATACACAAACAAGACCCAGAATTTTGCTGCATACAAGAAACACACCTCAGTGACAAAGACAGACACTACCTCAGAATAAAAGGGTGGAAAACAATTTTCCAAGCCAATGGTCCCAAGAAACAAGCTGGAGTAGCCATTCTAATATCAAATAAAATCGACTTCCATCCAAAATTAATCAAAAAAGATAAGGAAGGACACTTCATACTCATCAAAGGAAAAAGCTACCAAGGTGAACTCTCAATTCTGAACATCTATGCCCCAAATGCAAGGGCACCTACATACATAAAAGAAACTTTACTAAAGCTCAAAACACACATTACACCTCACACAATAATAGTGGGGGATTTCAACACCCCACTGTCAGCAATGGACAGATCATGGAAACAGAAACTAAACAGAGACACTTTGAAATTAACAGAAGTTATGAACCAAATGGACTTAACAGACATCTATAGAACATTTCATCCTAAAACAAAAGAATATACCTTTTTCTCAGCACCTCATGGTACCTTCTCCAAAATAGACCATATAATTGGTCACAAAACAAGCCTCTACAGATACAAAAAGATTGAAATAATCCCTTGCATCTTATCAGATCACCACGGACTAAGACTGGTCTTTAATAATGACAAAAACAATGGAAAACCCACGTACACATGGAAACTGAACAACTCTCTACTCAATGATGACTTGGTCAAGGAAGAAATAAAGAAAGAAATAAAAGACTTTTTAGAATTCAATGAAAATGAGGACACATCATACCAAAACTTGTGGGACTCCATGAAGGCAGTGCTAAGAGGAAAGCTCATAGCTCTAAGTGCCTACAAAAAGAAACTGGAAAGAGCACACACTAACAAGTTGACTGCACAACTAAAAGCTCTAGAACAAAAAGAAGCAAATACACCCAGGAGGAGTAGAAGGCAGGAAATAATCAAACTCAGGGCTGAAATCAACCAAGTAGAAACAGAAAGAACAATACAAAATATCAATAAAACCAGGAGTTGGTTCTTTGAGAAAATCAACAAGATAGATAAACCCTTAGCCAGATTAACCAGAGGGCACAGAGACAGTATCCAAATTAATAAAATCAGAACTGAAAAGGGAGACATAACAACAGAAACTGAAGAAATTCAAAAAATCATCAGATCCTACTACAAAGGCCTATACTCAACAAAACTGGAAAACCTGGATGAAATGGACAATTTCCTAGACAGATACCAGGTACCGAAGTTAAACCAGGAGCAGATAAACCATCTAAATAGTCCCATAACCCCTCAGGAAATAGCAGCAGTCATCAAAAGCCTCCCCACTAAAAAAAGCCCAGGACCAGATGGTTTTAGTGCTGAATTCTATCAGACCTTCAAGGAAGACCTAATACCAATTCTCTTCAAACTATTCCACAAAATAGAGACAGAAGGAACACTACCCAATTCGTTCTATGAAGCTACAATTACACTCATACCCAAACCCCACAAGGACCCGACAAAGAAAGAGAACTTCAGACCAATCTCCCTTATGAACATCGATGCAAAAATACTCAATAAAATTCTAGCAAACCGAATCCAAGACCACATCAAAACAATCATCCATCATGATCAAGTAGGTTTTATCCCAAGAATGCAGGGATGGTTCAATATTCGG